GCCCCGGCTGGCTTCACGCTGCCTGCTGGAGGGACCGGCCAAACCCGCCATCTCTGCACGGAGCCTCGAGCAAGACGGAGCGAGCCGCCAAGCATCCGAGCGCGTCTGCTCTCTCCTCAGCCGGCCCTCCCAGAGGCTGCAGCTCTGCCCAGCTGGTCGCGCCGAACCGTTTTCCAAAAACAAAGGCCTCACATCCAGCACACATGATGTTGGCTCACCTGTGACAGCTTTTCACTGCAACTGATCTACCTACTATTTGAACTAAGGTTGACTTCCTTTGCTTTTGGATAATACCCTTTTGTTTTCTTTTGGCAAGGGTAAGGCCAAACTGAGCCTATTTCTTAAAAAGTCCCTGAAGAAGAACATTAATTAAGGCATAAATTGTGAGAAACGAGACAATCTTTGCAATGCGCTGGAATGACCAATATCAAAATAATGTTGAACCATACGTGTGATTGCTGTCCTTCCGGCAGTCATTTCTGATCCTGTTACTGGGTTTGGCTTTAATAGCACAAGCACCTCTGCGCATCGCTTGGCTTGGACCTCCGTGCGGGTCGCCGTGGCTCCATTCATTTCCTCAACACTCCACCCCGCAGGCACCCGCCTTTGGCACACAAGGGTGGAGGCGGCCAGGCTGCCTGCGATGCAGCCACGGGTGCAAGCGTATCCCCCCCCACAACCACGGACGGAGGGCAGAAGTGAAGGGGGACGCTGCCTCTTAAGGCAGCGTGCCAACATGCGTGACAGCAGGGCCTGGCTTCACAGCAGCCACCTCGCAAACCACAGGACTAGCCCCTTGGTTTCTAAGCCTGCGGATTCTGGGTACTCCTCAATCACAGTGACCGAGTGTCCCAGGAAAGGAAGGCTCTGCCGGCTTCTCCCACCCAATTTCCAAAGTGTCATGCAAATTAATAAAAACAGGGCAGAAGGACAAATAATGCTGGCCACTAATTGAAGGCAGGAAGCGAGTGCCCATCGTTCCAGGTGCCGCATCGGCACCAGAGCCATCCATCACCGGCGGAGACGAGGCTGCCGTTGCCCGGCCGGCCCGCGACAAGCCGGAGAGACCAACACGCACCTTTTAAGGAGGTTATGGAACAAAAGAACTCATTTTATCACTTGGCTTTACCGCTTGAGAAAATGGCTCCTGGAGCGCTCAGCTCCATGATAAATGCGCCCCCTCCGGATCTTTATTGCCCTTGTAAATCACAGGACTGACAGCAGTTAATAAGAAAGCTTTTGAGTGGTTTTGAAGTTTTGCTATGGACAAATAAAGCCTCATATTAAAGAATTTGCTAGTCCTCAAGGTGTGAAAAAATTATTGTAGGTAAAACCTGCTTTTCAAGGGCATGTTTTTGTTTTCTTCTTGTGGGGAAATGTGTGTGTTAAGAATGGAAGATGCTTAAGGAAGCAGCCACTTTAATTTGCCTTTCAGATGGAAGCACAACGCCTTCTGCCTTCCAGCCCCTGCCTTTTGTGTTGCTAAATTTCAAAAGGGCGGAGAAAATTCCTGCATATACAAGAGAAAGGGCAGAACAGCCCCACAACCAGGCAATGGCATGTTGAGGCTGCAGGCACCCAGGAAGCCAGTGCCTCGCCCCCCCCCACCTTCCGAATGGGGCAGGAAGCGCTTCCCCCTCTGCGCAAAGCGGGCAGGGCAGGCCGGCTTCTCATTAGCCAGACCCTGCCCTTTCCTACCGGGAGGACTCCCTTTTAGGCTCCGCAGGGGGGGCACTCCCCCCCCCAATTCTGCAGACACCTAGCAAGTCCAGGGACTAGGTCTGCAGGCAGGGGCGCTACACTGGATGCAGAAATCCCCACCAAGGAGCGGGGAGACGGTGCCTTGCAAGGCGAGTGAGGGCACCCATTCCCCGAACGGCTCGCGATGCTTCAGGCTGTGCGTTCGCCTCTGCAGCTCTGAGATTCGTGGAGGAGAGTCTGCAACAGGAACCACAGCTGCTTAATCTAGTTCTGGCATCCTCCAATCCCTTCCCTTCCAAAACCCCTCATCCCACAGCGGCTCCAACGTGAAGATGCTCGCAGGCAGCAAAGCACAGCGCATGCCTGGCAGCCCATGAAGAGAACGCGAGCGGCACGGCTCAGAGACGCGGCAGAGAGATGCCGGGGAAACGGCACGCCAGTGGTGCCGGGATCCTGCTGGTGTGCACAGGATCCCGCCCATCCACAGGAGGAGCAGAGAGCCACCGTCGGCCCACGTGCTTGGCTACAGGTGCTCGCAAAGCGCTGCACCTGCAGGCACGGCGAGCCCAGCTCTCGGCGCCTCGCCCCCCTCCGTGGGCCCACATGTTCCACTTGTGCACCCACGGAGCAGACCCTCCGGCGCGAGACGTCCCGCTCCTTTCCCGCTTCCTGGAGCCAGGACTGCTGCTCTCTCTCCGGCTGCCTCGGCCCCTCACTCCCTTCCCGCCAGGCCTGCGCCGAATCGGGGGCTCCCCTCCAACCGTCACGCGGCCGTGGAGGATCAGCGCCCCGACCTTGCAAAGCCCTCCCTCGCTTGCTGCTCAGTGGCGAGGGGCTCGTCCCCCGAGCGGAGGACCCCTGCCGCTCTCGCAGCGAAACCCGCGGGCCACCCACCGTGTCCGCAGCTCCGCACCTGAGCCGCCTCGGACCCCGTCCTCACCCCAATCCACAGCCCATCCGCTCGTCCGCAGTCCCTTGACCGGGCAATGCGATGCAGGGCTCTCTGCCGTCCACACCAACCGCAGCACCATCTGTCCACGCACTCCTGAAGGTGCCCGGGCTGGACATGCCAGAGCCTGCCCAGTCCCCCTGCCGCTACCTACTTCTTTCCAAAATGCCTTCCTCGGGAAGCTGTTTACTGACAACTTTTTAGTCAGTTTATGTGGCTTCTTTTTTAACTGAACGGTGCTGAATCTCCCAACTGAAACAAACCTCCGTTTCCCCTGTAGGTGCGACAGTTTGGACTACCTAACGGAGAGGATGGTTCCCCACGAAACGCAGAGGCAGACCTGTCCAAAAGATCATTCCAAGCACAAGACAGCGGAGTTCCCAAAGCCAGCACCAAACGGCCTCAACCGAAGGCAGCATTGATTTGTCTGATTTAAAAGCCACACTTTAAATTTGCGATTAATGAATTGATTAACGTGGCGATTAATTTGATGGATGCTTTTGGTCATACATCTTGCCAAGAAAGCTGATGCAAGAGCCGGAAAGAGACCGGGGCGTGACTGTCACACGCGGAGTCGGGGTGGCAGAGGTCAAAGCCGCTTGCTGGTAAAGCCGGCCCATCGCCCTGCACAGTCTATCTTTTCCGTCCCTTGCTTATTGCCTGACATGATTTAACAACTGTAATTCCTTATTTAACAATGTCAAAGGTTTTTAGGAAATTGACTGTATTTCACCAACAATATATTTCTTCTTGATTACCGAGTGGTTAAAATGATTTTAAACCAAGACAGCAAAATAAAGCAGTAAGAAAATCAATAGGTGCTTAAAACATTCCTTCTATTAGGTAATGGCATTTAAAATATCCGCAGCTTGTAATGGCACTTAGGATATGCCCAGAAATCAATGAGCTAAATTACTTATTGAACAAGTTAATTTGAACATTGAGTTTTATAGGTAGATTGATAAAACAAGCTTCCCAAAATGTGGGCAGATGTCGCCCCCTGCCGGAAAGAAGGCGAGACGCCAGCGAGAGAAAAAGAAAACAACATTATGCGAGCGGCACGGTGCAATTTCTGGGCTGGCCGCAAGAGGGCCCTGCTCTTTCGGGCCGGGGTGATTTAAGGGGGACCTGCCTGCCCAGCCCCCTGGGGCCTCCAGGGCCGTCTGAACAGCATTACGGGCCGGGGCAAAGCCGTGCACTGGGGACCCTAGACAACTGCAACTACTGCCCATTTTGGAAGTTCCCCCGTTTTCCAAGGGTTAACCTACACGGATCAGGATGGGGCCCACGGCGTTAAGGCGGCCCTGCGGGCCTCCCCGGAAGCCTGCGAGGCGCCAGCCCGGGGGAGGCGGCCCGCCCCGGGGGCCTCCCTGCCCCGGCAGCGCCCTGGCGGCTCCCTGGAGCTGCGCGGCCCGCCGCCAGGCCCACCCGCAGACGCGACGCCGCGGGCGAGTCCCGGAGCGGGCCGGCCGGCATGAAGCCGGGACGCGGCAGCCTTCGCCCAGGCAGGCGCAGCGCAAAGCAGGCCGCCGCGGAGGCCCGACACCGGCGGGCGCGTCCAGAGCCGGCTGCGCCCAGGCTGCGCCGTGGCCCTCCCGCTGGCGGCTGCCCGTGCGCCCACCGACAGGGTCGCGGGACCCCCTGCGCGGCCGGAGCGTGCCGGGCACACGGCGGTGGAAGCGCCCGGCCCGGCCCAAGGCGGCTGCGCCTCGGCCCGGCATCGCTCCGGCGCACCAGGCGCCCTTCGGCGGCGCAACGCGCGGGCGCGCACCTTCTGCCCCCGCGCAGCGCCCTCGCCCTCGCCTCCTACGCGGCCCCAGCGCCAAAGGGGGCCTGCGCCGGCTCAGCTGATGCCCGGGCGGAACCTTGAGGCGGGGAGCGCGCAGGGCGGACTCGTGTTCGTGCCCGGGAACCGCGTCCACACGCCCCTCCGAGCGCGGCCGGTGCAGGGCCGAAGGGGCCAGTGGGCAGGCGCCGCGCTGCACCCTGGAGGCCACCGCGGGCCGCTCGCTTTGCGCGCAGGATTCGCCTCGAGCCGCGCCGCTCCCGGGGCGCCGGTGGGCAGGGGCCCTCCTCCCGCGGCAGAGGCGCCGCGGGGCCGGCCCGGGTCCCCTTCGCCGCCGTGCACTACGGGGAACACGACCGAAGACGTCCTCTTTGCGGACTAGCGTGATAAGGAGGCCGGCGGCGCAGGGCGCGCCGGGAAGGAGCGCTCAAGATGGCGCCTCGCCGGCGACCTCCCGCACATGGCGGCGGAAGACCGCCCCAAGATGGCGCCACGGCGCCGGCCCCCTCCCCAAGATGGCGCGCCGCCGCCTCGCGCTGAGTGGCTGCGGGGAGGCGCAGTGCACGCCGGGAGAGCCGGAGAGCGAGGGCGAGAGCGCGGCCGGGCCGGGCCGGACAGGGACCGGGAAAGCCGCCGAGGGAGCCGCCGCCGCCGCCGCCGCCTGCGCCATCATGCCGGAGCTGGCCGTGGAGCGCGTGGTGGTGCATCCGCTGGTGCTGCTCAGCGTGGTCGACCACTTCAACCGGTGAGGCGGCCGCGCGCTGAGTCACGGGCTGGCCCGCCGCGGCGCTCTGCCCATGGGCAGGGGCCCCGAGGCCGTCGCGGGAGGGAGGGAGGGAGGGTGGAGCGGGGTCCCGGCCGCGGGGCCCGACGACCCCCGCCCTGAGCTCCCCGCCCGCCTCTCCCGCCGCAGGATCGGCAAGGTGGGCAGCCAGAAGCGCGTCGTGGGCGTCCTGCTGGGATCGTGGCAGAAGAAGATCCTCGACGTCTCCAACAGCTTCGCCGGTGAGGCTCTTGCGCGGGGGGGGGGGGCGCCTGTGCCTTCCCCGGGCCCCCGGGGCGCGCCCTGGCCGGGGCGAGACGCGGGCACGGAAAAGCTGCCGGGGCGAGCCTGCTGCCGGCCGTGCAGCTCGGACCCGACCGTGGCGACGGGCGCCTGCCAGTCCGATCCAAGCGGGCGCCCGGCGGGTGCGGTGGGGCTGGGGAGGCTTTGCCGAGGGCGCTGCCCGGTGCTCGGTAGCGGGGAGACGTCAGGCGGAGCGACGGCGCTTTGGCATTGCTTTCCTTTCCGTTGCATGGGTTGCTCTTCTATGCCAAGAGCCGAGGCGGCCTGGCCCGTTTACAGACCAGATTTAATTCGGAAGCCCCTCTTGGCTCTGCAGTGACCCCTCACTCTCCCCTGACCATACCTTGCGCCTTCCCAGTTCTGGAGAGGCGTCCTCTGTCCGAGTTGTTGATTTCCTGGGCACCACAGCAGCCTGCCCCCCTGCAGCGCGCCCGGGGGTCCCGTCAGTGCTGCTGCGGGAAGGACGCACAACTCAGCGGCGGGACACCAGCTTTGCTGCCCCTAAAATCTCTGGCCGAAGGGATCGAGCAGCACATGACGAGAAGAGCTCCCCCTGGGGACCCCGGAGGCTCCCCAGCTTACAAACTGGAGCACGCTCGGCTGGCAGGATTCATGCGTCCCGGCCAGACAGAGACTGTGGCTGCTGGCGCCCCATCCAGCTGTCTCCCCCCGCAGATGCAGCTGGCAGGTTTTAGCCTTTCTTTTCAGTCTAGGCAGGCCCAATTACCTAAAGTAACAGGCTGCTTTTCTCTCTCGTGCCCCTGCAGTCCCCTTTGATGAAGACGATAAGGATGACTCTGTATGGTTTTTAGACCACGACTATCTGGAGAACATGTACGGGATGTTCAAGAAGGTCAATGGTAAGCGATGCGTGGCCAGCAGGGGGGCCGGCTTGGCTGCCTCCGCCGCTTTGGAAAGCCGAGCGGTGCGTTCCGAGGAATTTTGCCCAGACCCTTCACAGATCCCTAGACAGCTTCTGTGAGGCACTGGAAGCATCTGGTGCTACTTTCTGTGTCCGCTTTTGTCCAGCTCGGGAGAGAATCGTGGGCTGGTACCACACAGGGCCCAAGCTTCACAAGAACGACATTGCGATCAACGAGCTCATGAAGCGATACTGTTCCAACTCGGTAAGGGCCCTCCACTCTCGGAGGGTGGGAGCCCCTCCCCGGGGGTGGCGGCCTGGCGGTTCCCCCTTGCTGCCCACTGAAGCCCCGCTAGGTGGGGCTGGAGGACGGCCGGATGGCGGCGGCAGGTTCCCCCTGCTAGAGGGGCTCGGAGGAGGGGCGTCCCACTGCTAGCTTCCAGCGGGCTTCTTTCTGAATAGGTTCTGGTGATTATCGATGTGAAACCAAAGGACCTGGGGCTGCCCACGGAAGCCTACATCTCGGTGGAAGAGGTGCATGATGTGAGTACGTGGAGCCCCCGCGGGGCAAGGCGCCAGTCCCACTGTGTGCTCTGGGCTCAGCCGGAGCGCGGCGTCTGGGTCGCCGCAGCGCAAGGCTTAAGCAGAGCCCTGGGCCCCGGCTGGCCGGAGCTGCCTCCTGCGCCACGCAGGGTGTGGGAGGGCCCCACTCTGGGAGGCAGCTGCCATCCGTGCTTCCTCGGGGGACGCAGCGCCTCTTCCGGCCGGCCAGCTCTGCTCCTGCTCTCACCGGGCGGCCCGCAGCTGCCTGGCCCGTCACAACCTCAGGTTCAGTTTGCAGACTGAGGGGATACTGGCTTTCATGCGGGCACGACCGGTAACAGCCTGTTTCTGCACCCCGAAGGATGGGACACCGACTTCCAAGACCTTCGAACACGTGACCAGTGAAATCGGGGCCGAGGAGGCAGAGGAGGTCGGCGTCGAGCACTTGCTGCGGTAATGCGTGCGCAGCTGCAGCTGCTTCCGGCTCGGCGGCCTGCGCTTTCCGGCGCGCCCCGTTCCTCAGGGCGGAGTGCCGGCAGCTCCCTAGTTTTGGGCGAGCGGTGGTGCAAGACGCCCGAGCTCCACAAGGAGGCAGCCACTTCGGCGCCCGGCCCGTCTCTGTCTGGGGGATCAGCCGTCCCCACGCAGTGTTGCTGGTCCCCCACTGGAGCCGTGCGGGGGCGCCCGTGCTCGGTCAGGCGTGGCGCACAGCCTCTCCCTCGGCCCCTGCAGGTATCTTCGTGCGGCTGGGCCGGGGGAAGAGCGGCTGCCCGTGCAGCCCACAGAAGCGCCTGGCCTTCGCTTTTGGGGCGCGGCCTGAGGCGCATCCGGGCAAAGGAGACTGGCGGGGCAGCTGGGCGTTGCAGGGAGGGGGCAGGGCTGCCGCTGCGCCACAGAGCCCCCACCTGACTCGCCCCCCCCCCCCCGGCTGCTGCAGGGACATCAAGGACACCACCGTGGGGACGCTTTCGCAGCGTATCACAAACCAGGTGCACGGCCTGAAGGGCCTGAACTCGAAGCTGCTGGAGATCCGGAGCTACCTGGAGAGGGTGGCCGTGGGCAAGCTGCCCGTCAGCCACCAGATCGTCTACCAGCTGCAGGACGTCTTCAACCTGTTGCCGGACGTCAACCTGCAGGAGTTCGTCAAGGCCTTCTACCTGAAGACCAACGACCAGATGGTGGTGGTGTACCTGGCGTCGCTCATCCGCTCGGTGGTCGCCCTCCACAACCTCATCAACAACAAGATCGCCAACCGAGACGCGGAGAAGAAGGAGGGGCAGGAGAAGGAGGAGAGCAAGAAGGAGAGGAAGGACGAGAAAGACAAAGACAAGGAGAAGAGCGAGGCCAAGAAAGAGGACAAGAAGGAGAAGAAGTAGTTGTGTGCCGTGTCCGCCAATTAAAATGTCGTGAACTGAGTCCGTGGCTGCAGCGGTTCGTTCTTGGTGGGGCTTGGGAACGCCCGGTGCTGGGTAGAACGGGAAGTGGGCGGCAGGGGCGCTGCACCGTGGACGGTGCGTGGCACCCCGGGCTGGAAATGGCGGAGAACGTGGCTGGCCTGTGCCTTGGCTGGGGGCAAGCGATGGACACACGGCGTTCACAAATGCTCGCCGCCGGTCCCTGTCCACCCCCGGCCAGGAGACGGGGCAGTCGGACAGACAGACTGGGAGGCAGCGGCCCCTCGAGGGGCGCCCCAGCATGCGTCTGCCCTCGCGGTCTGGGGGGCTGCAGCCAGCGCAGGGGCCGCTGCTCTCCCCACCTCTCTTCGAGGCGCACCTAACAGCAAGCTGCCGACAGGAAAGGTGCGGGCCGACTCCTTGCCGTGCGACGCGGGCTTCGGTCAGCAGGGGGCGGGCGGCTCTTCGCTCTAAGGTGCCTTTCAGCGTTGCCGGGCAAGGGGGACGAGGGCAGCGGCCACCAGCCCACACAAGTATGGGGTGCGCACCTTCGGGGGGCCCGGCCGCCCTTGGCAGGGAGGCCAAGTGGGCCAGTGGCTGCCGGAGTCCGTGTGTGGGGGCCAGCCGTGGCTGCCGGGAGGTGCAACGGGCCAGGGGCTTTGGTGCCTCCGATGTGGGGCGCTCCCCTGCGTGGGGCTGGCTCGCTGGGCCGCCCGCCCCGGTGCCTGTGCCGGCTGGCCAGTCCCCTCTGGGGTGCAGCCGCTTGCCCTGGCCTTCCCTGCCCTGCAGAGGGTGTTGCGCCAAAGCCTCACGCCCCCCCAGGCCGCACTGATGCCCGAGGGGGGGCGCTGCTGGCGGCTGAGTCCCATCGGTTTTAAAACAGGCCCTGTGCCTTGGCCTGGCCGGGCCCCTCTGCTTTTCCACTGCATCTTCCCTTGCGGGGGGGGGGGGCGAAAGCGAAGCAGCTTGTGGGCCTGGGAGATGGCAAGGCGAGCCCAGTGCCTCCCAGGCCGCCACATGCCAGGGCCGGCTGGGAACCGGCTCCCTGCGGGGGGCCGGAGAGGGCTCGGGGCTCGGCGCCCCCGCGTCCCCCAGCCAGCCCGCCTCTGGCCAAAGAAAACACCGCTGCGCCTCCCCTCCCCTCCCCTCCCCTCCCCGGCGGCAGCTGCCCTTGCCTGCAGGAGCAGCCCGGGCTTGCTGAGCAGCCCTTCCCCACAGAGCCCCCCCGCCTCCCCCCTGCCTCCCAAGCTGGCAGCCTCGTGGGCGGAGGAGCAGCTCCGGGCAGCCCGGCCAAAGCAAACACGGCCAAGCGCCTTCCCAGAAGCAGCGCCCCAGAGTCCGCCCCCGCCCGCCACACCTGGGCCGCCCTGCCCTGCCCACGGCCGCTTCCCCACCCAGGGCCCGCGGGGGTGAGGGGCTGCAGCTCCTGGCGCGGCCGTCCGTGGGGCTGCGGGAGCCTCGGCGGGAAGAGGCCCACCGGGCAGGCAGCCTGGCTGTCGGGGCGCAGCTCCCCTCCTCCAGCGGAACGAAAACACCCGACGGTCCCGGCCCCTCTTTGGGGGGCACTGTTCAGGGGCTGGGAGGCCCTGCAGGGCCTGGGCGTCCCCCGCCTGCGTCCAGGCACACGCGTCTCTTCTCGGGAGCCGTGGGCGATGGGGAGCCTCCGCGCTGCCCCGCTGCACCAGGGTGGGCCGGCCGAGGCGCCCGAAGCATGAGGCGGCCCCTGTGGGGCGCAGTTTCCCTTCCTCCCCCCCGCATTTGGCCAGAGTCTTCAGCAACCTGTGCATGCTGGAGGCCGGGGGGTCCCCCTCCGGAGTACCAGTTTGGGCATGTGCCCCCCCCCCCCAGTGGCAGAGCCCCGGAGGATGGCTTCCGACTCCCGCGCGGCCACCCGAGGCGCAGAGGACACGAGATGAGGCCACACGCGGCTGCAGATCCTTTATTGCACAGAAGTCGGCTTTGCCGCGGCCGGGTCAGCGCAGCAAGAAACTGTCCAAGGTCCCCAGCAAGAGCAGCGGCAATTCGTTCTGCCCACAGACACGTCGATGCGGCTCGCTGCGGTTGCGTGTGCGTACACACGCATCCTCCGTGCGAGCGGAGCCCTGGGGTCGGGGCCACGCGCCCTGCGGCCGAGCCGGCTCTTCCTCTCGTCTTCGGCTCCAGCCGGGGACCCGCGAGCCACACGCTCCGAGAACCAAGAGTCCGGCCCGGCCGTGCTTTGCAGCACCTGCGCACACACGCCCCGAGCCCGTGGGGTTCCTTGCACACGTCCCCGTCTTCCTCCTGTCCTTCCACACCGGCTAATTCGTTTTGCAGAAATGCCGGTTCGAATTCCAGCTCTTCCTTCAGTGCTGCAGGACTCAGAGCGGCTCAGATGGGGGGATGTGGCCGGCACACGCCTCCAGAGGCCCCCCAGCCCCTCCTGCCCTCCAGGCAAAGCCCCCCCCCCACATCTGGCCTGGCAGGGTTTCCGGGCTGCGCTGGTGTGCGTGGCCGAGGCAGCTTGGCAGGGAAGCAGGGCCGGGGGGCAGCGCCGCACCCCAAGCGGCACTGGAAGGGGCCGGGCTGAGCCCCGGGAGCTGCCTTCCGCCAGAGGTGTGTGGGCAGGAGTGCGACACGCGTGGCGGCCACGCCGCTCCGAAGCGGAGACCCACTGCGCTGCCTCGAACAGAGCCCTGGCGTGCTTGGCACAGGGCGGGAGGCCTTGGGGGCGTGGGCCAGGCCCACCCCCCCGGGGTTCGGCCCGGCCCGGGCAGCCTCAGGCCCTGCGAGGACCCCAGAAGTGCTTCTCTTGCTTGGGGCGAGTGCTTCAGGGCAGCGCCAGTGCTGAGGCTGCCCGGAGGGGCACGGCGGGGCAGCTGTGCGGGGGCACCGGGCCGCTGGGGGGCGCAGCTGCAGGAACCTGACGTGCCCAGGCAGGCGGCCGGATGGGGCAGGGGGAGGGCCTGGGCGGCGAGAAAGTGGACTTGCCCTGGCGAAGGCAGAGGGCACCGGAGCGCTTGTGAGGAAGCGCCCGCGCGCCGGCGGGAGATCCAGGCCCGCGGCGCAGGAGCCTCCTCCCCTTCGGGGGCGCAGCTCCGGCCCCAGGGAGGTGGGGGGCGTTCCCCGGAGCGTCTCCTGGGGGCCGAGCCCGTCACTCCTGCCCGAAGCCCTCCGTCTCCTCGATGGCGTAGAGCAGCTTCTCCTTCAGCTGCTCAAAGCTCTTGTAGGGGGGCAGGTCCAGCCGGTTGAAGCTGCGAAGGGCAAGGGCGGCCCTCAGTGGGCGGCGTGGGGGGCCGGGGCCCCTGCCGCCCCCGAGCGCCGCCGGCACACTCACCATGTGTGGCTGCGGGGCAGCCAGGTCTCCTTGCCCACCTTGTCGATGCAGAACTTCTGGGGGCCGTTGCTGCCTGCAGGAAGGAAGGCGGCACCTCACTCAGCCGGCGGGGCCGCGCCGCGCCACAGGCCGTGCTGGGCCAGGCCGGGCCGGGCGCAAAATGGCGGCCCGCGAGCCGGCAGTGTGCGCGTGCAGATCCGCTCGGCCCGGCCGCCAGGGCCTCAGGTGGAGCGCCCGCCCCCAAAGCCCCCCGCCCGGCCGCCGGGGTACAAATACCAATCAGCTCGGCAAATCCTCCGACCGGCAGCCGGCACGTCCCCGTCACGAACTGCAGCAGGCGGATCCTCTTCTCGTTGTCCATCTCCTTGACCACCTGCAACGCGACGCAGGGGCTGGGCGCGTGGGGGCGGCAGAACAGAGCCCCCCCCCAGCACCTCGCCGAGGCACATGGGGCGTCCAGGATCGCCCAGGCTCCCGTCTGCCTGGGGGACAGACGGTCGGGGCCGGAACCCTGCCAACCCGCGAGGGGACTCCGCACTGTAGGCCTCAGGTCGGGGCCTCGGCAAGCTCGGGGCCGCCTCCGGTGCCGTGGCCAAGGAGAGGCTGCGGGGAAAGTCCCGCCCCCCCCCAGCAGCCCTGCAGCCTGCACCGGACCCCCCCTTGCTGCCCCACACCCCGCAGGGAGCCCCACCTGCCAGAACCACTGGATCTGCTTGCTGTTCTTGGTGTAGTGCCGGTAGATGGCGTTCTTCTGCCAGTCGCTCATGTCGATCTCCTGCATTCCGCAGAGCATCAGCTGCGGGGAAGGGGGCACGAAGGCTCAGGCCAGGGCCGGGGGGGGGGGGGGCGGGGGGCCTGGCCACGGGCAGCCCACCCAGCCGCTGAGCGAGAAACGGGGCCAAGGCCCGTGGCTGAAGGTGCCCGCGACCGCCCTGGTGCAAGGAGGCCCCCCCGGCCAAAGGCACTGTTGTCTTCTCGGGGGGGGGGGCAGATGACAAGGCGCGATGGATCGAACAACCGTCTGCCGCAAGGGGAAGGGCGGCTCTGTCTCCTCCGGTGCGGTCGGGAGGGCCCTTGGCGAGAGCAGGGTGGAGAGCGAGGCCTGGCACTTCTGCCCCCGGGGATCATCGGCCGCTCTCCCCGATCTACCCGGAGCACCGTGGTGGCCGAGCGACTCCGCCGCCTCCCCACGGATGGGCCTGGCACGCTCTTGCCCTGGCCAGCCCCACACGGAGGGGGCTCCCGGGCGCTCCGGGGAGCCTGGGCTCACCTCCAGCTCCTTCTCGTCGAAGTAGCGCAGCCACTCCAGGGGCGCCACCTCGTTGAAGCCGTCCAGGAAGGCCTTCGTCTGCTCCTCCACGCCCCGCGTGAAGCGCCAGTCCGTCAGCAACCTGCGGGCAGGGAAGCCCCGCTCAGCACCGCCAGGCCGCTGCGGACCCTCGTGCTGCCGGTCGGCCCGCCGTCCACGATCGCCGGACGCTCCCACGAAGAGGGCTCTGCCCACGTCTCCCCGAGCGGTTTTCGGCACACCCACATCGGCCGCGAGCGGGGCCCCCGCAGGGATGCCCGGCGAGGGACACTGCCGCCGGCCGTCCCCGGAGACCGGGAGGCAGAGAGGTTCGGGGGCGGCTTGAGCAGCACGCCCGGCACAAGGCCGCCTGCCCACGGCCGGCTTCCCCGCGGAGCGACTCACAGGATGTACTCGTCCTTGTTTTCCTCGGTGACGCGGATGCTCTCGCCGCCCTCCTTCAGCTCGTGGGTGGTCACTTTGCCCAGGACCTCCATGTCCTGGATGAAGTAGAGCTCCAGGCCGCACTCCTCCAGGTTGTTCTCCCTGTGGAAGCGGGGGGGGGCGCCTGGCTGAGCGCCACGCCTGCCGGGCGGGCGACGTCCTGGCCAGGCGCCGCGGAGGGCCCCGGGCGGCTGACTCCAGCAGCCCCTCCCCGCCTGCCCCGTTGCCCTCCCTGCACATCCTGCAGACGGGCAGCCCCCACACGGCCTCTGCTCGCTCCCTTCGACTTCACCAGCACGCCGGCCCGGGGGCGGCCTGGGGGGCAGCAGTGGGGCCCTGAGGGGGCAGGGGGCGCGCCCGTACTGACTTGATCCAGAGGATGGAGTTGTAGAACTCGGGGTCGATGGACTCCAGGTCCTTGAGGGTGGGGCGCTTGTTCAGCATGCGCTTGTAGAAGGGCAGCGTGAAGCCCGTGTCGATGAACTTGCCGTGGTAGAGGGCCTGCGAGGCGAGAAGAGGCAAGGGTTTCATTTATTTAGTTAGTTATTTTCCGGTTTATATCCTGCCTTTTTCCTACGAAGGGCTCAAGGCAGCTTGCATCATTCTCCTCCTCCATCTTATCCCCACAACAACCCTGCGAGGTAGGTTGGGCTGAGAGTCTGTGACTGGCCCAAAGTCACCCAGCTGGCTCCATGGCCGAGCGGGGACTAGAACCCGGATCGCCGGAGTCCCAGTCCCATGCTCTTAACCACTACCCCACACTGCCTCTCCTGCCCCAGAGGATGTCCCGGCAGGTGCGCCACAGGCTGCCCGGGGCACTTGGCCCCAGACGGGGCAGGTGCCGGGCGCACAAGGACCCAACTCCACCGCCCGCCTCTCCGCCACCCACGTCCGGCGCTTTGCATGTTTACAGCTTTACGTGCTGCCCGTTGCAGGTACTTTGCCAGGATGGCTGAAGGCACACGCCTCCCAAAACAGCCAAGCAGCCATCAAATGTGGGGCAGGCTGCTGGAGCCAGCGAGGCTTCCGGCGCAGCCGACCAGGAGGAAACGCAACCGACTGGCAGCCTGGGGAGGAGATGGGCCTTCAGGGAGCCCCCTGGGGAAAGGGAGGGCTGGGCGAGGCGGGGCCCGGCCCGGTCCGCACCAGCGCCTCCAGGAAGGCAGACCCCCCCCGCAAAGCCCAGGGGGCCAGGCCGGACTCCCAGGGGCCCCCACGGCCTCTCAGCTCCTGCCACCCACGCCCCCCTGGCAGTGCGCTGGGAAACGCCTCGCCAGAGGCGCTCGCCACTTGGGCAGGCTGCCCGTGGGAAGGGCAAGCCGCAAGCCCACGGCTGAAAGGCAGTCTGTGGCACCCTCCCCTCCCCGGAGCAGCGGCAGCAGCCGGCTCCCCCCCCCCTGCTCCAGGGCAGCCTCTGTTCACCAGCACTCCGTGGCCGCAGTCGGCCTTCCGGGAGCCAAGAATAACGCAGACGGTTCTGTGCGTCTGGAGGAGGCTGGCCGAGTGGTGAGTAATCGCCGGGGGTGGGGGGATGCAGAGGCTTGGGGCCCTCCCCTGCCCTCCCCAGGAGAGAGCAAAGCAGGGCAAAACCAGCCAGGGGGAGCCCAAAGACACCGGCCAGTGGCAGCCGCAGTTCTGCTGGGCGCTGTGAGGCCAGGGAAGAGGGGAGGGGAGCCCAAGGCAGCAGAAATGCTGGAAACTGCTGCAGGCCGGGGGGGATACGGTGGGTGGGGGCGGCTCCAGCCCTGCGAGCGTTTCCCAGAGCAGACCCCCAGCGCATCGCAGCTGCAAGTTCCACCGCAGCCTCTTCTGCAGGCACAAGCGATCTGCAGGCTGCGGTTCAGGGCCCAAGGCGGTTCTCCGGGGCCTTCCAAGCAAGGCAGCTGAGGACCGGCCTTACGACAGCCTCCAAAACCCCCGGCCACACGAGACGCGGAAGCCCAGTGACTGGATCACGCGAGAACGAGCAGCCACCCAGCAAGACGCTGCCTGGAAAGCTGTGCAAGGGAGGGATTCTCCCTCCGGGGATGGAGAACAGTGGCTGGAGCCCAGGGCCTCGCGCTCAGCGGGCTCCCTTCTTGCACGCGGCCGGGAACGCCGGCAGAGCCCTTCGTGCCAAGTCCCGTGAGCCGGGTGGGGCTCCGCGCTGGATGGGCACCGGGTGGCAGGAGACAAGCGCCCGGGGCGGACCCAGGGCAGGGAGAAGCGGGGCGAGCGTCCAGGGAGCCGAGCCCAGGAAGCTGGGCGGACCCCCCGTGCTGGCCGGCCTGGTGGATCTCGCCCAGCAGCCCCCGAGAGGAACCCCTGGCGTGGCGTGGCGTGGCAGGGTGGGGCGTGGCAGAGGCAGGCCAAAGCCGTCCGCCAAGAGACTCGGTCCCAAACCGCACAGGGGGAACTTCCCGGGCTTCCGTTAGGACGGCCCCAGACCCTGCGCCCGGCGGATTCCCCCTTTCCGAGAAGGTGAGAGTGCTTCGCAGGGAAGCGGGTGCGTTTGGGGCTGCCCCCATCGCCTTCAGCTCCCCACGCAGGAGTGCGGCCCTCAGGGGTTTCCCTGAAATGGCATGGGCCCTCAGGGAAAAGAAGCACCCCCGCGTGGCCAGCCCCAAGCAGCTCCGCACGCCACGAGTCCGGGTCCTCGCTCGGGGAGTGCTCACGCCCCGGGCGCTAGGAGAAGCGGCGAGCTGCACAGGAGGCCAGGAAAATCCCAGCGAAGCCCAGCAGCTGAGGAGAGCCGGAGGCCGGGAGGGCAGGCCGCGGGGCCGGGGAGCGCGAGGGCCGCGGGGAGGGCCGCGGGGCCCGCTCACCATGGCGATGAACCTGCCGATGAAGCGGAAGTAGGTGAGGTGGTCGGGGTTGATGGAGGAGGCCGGGTTGATCTGCAGGCAGTAGTTGTTCTTGCCGGCGTACTCGAACAGGCAGTACATGGGGTTGAGCACCTCGTGGGAGAGCAGGAAGAACCACTCGCTGCGGGGACGGAAGGGCGCATGAGAGGCACCCGGCCGGGCCCTGCCCCGCGGCCCCCTGGCCGCGGCCCCCCCGAGGCTCGCCGCCCGCCCCAGCCGCGTCCTTCCTCCGGTGCAGAGCCCCCGCATCCCGTCCGTGGTTCTACCCTGTGGTAGAACAGCAGGACGTCACCTACCATAGGGTAAAACCACTGCCGGGACGTGGGGAGGGGAGAGGCGAGGGGGCGCAGCCATGCCCGGGCCGGGGGGGGCGGGCCTGGGGAGCCCCGGGGGGCGGCGGGGGGCACCCCTCCCGGGGACACGGCCCACTGCCGGCGGAAGGGGCCCGCCACTCACCGGGCAACGCCGCCGTAGTCCAGGCCCTCCTCACCGCGCATGATGATGTACAGGCGGCGGCGCAGGTCGTAGGACTTCATGTTCATGATCTGAGCCGGGAGAGCAGAGAGCGGGTGGGCCGGGCTGGCCTGCCAGCGCCCCCGGCGGGGGCCCCGGTGACCCCCCCGGCCCCCCCGCAGCCTCACCTGCTGGAAGGAGTCCTCGAAGAGCGTCTGCCGCGAGACGCTGATCTTGACGTGGCTGGGCAGCGCGTTGGACTGCGGAGGGAGGCAGGCTGTGAGCGGCCCCGCGGGCCCCGGCCCACCCACGTTCAGGCCCCCGGCCCGGCCCGGCCCACCCGCCCGCCCGCTGCTCACGGGGAGCGAGGAGGGCGCACTCACGTGGCAGAGGAAGCGGAACTGGTGGAACTTCCAGCGAAAGCTCCGGTCGTACGCCCCGGGGGAGCCGCCCTGCTTGCTCCTGCAACGGCAAACGCAGCCTCCTCTGCACACGGCCGGGATGGGGGCTTCTGCTCCGGAGGGACCCCTGTGGCAGCAGGCGGGCGGGGGGCCGGTCTCCAGCCAGCGTGGCCAGGAATGCGCCGGTCGGCAGGGACGAGTGGGGGGCCCTGGCCGACGGGGGTGCGGGTGGAGGGGGGGGGGGGGGGGACACAGGGCCTCCAGCCCGGGACGGCTGAGGGAGCCACCCCGCGTGCCCACCCCCATCCCGGGGGCTGCCAGGGTATCCCGAGAGCAGGTGGGCAGCAAGGACCCCGGCTGCCTGTCAGCTCAGCAGCTGACCCCGCAGGGCGATGAAGTGGTCGGGCCCTTCCTTGAGGCAGGGGCCACCCCTCCAGTAGCAGAGTTGGCGTCATCCTCTGAGGTGCCTCCTGCTACCCGGAGCCCCCCGGCAGTGTGGGGCTGCGGCTCCGCAGCTGGCTGGGGGTGCGGGCGGTGCAGTCCCACGCAGCCGGAGGGGCCGGACGGGGGAGCAGCCCTGGGTGCTCCAGCAACATGCCGCTCCGGAGAGCTGCCCCAGCCGTGAGAACCGGGGCACGGCCGCCCAGGAGCCCCGCGGGACTTACCCGGACTCAAACCCCGGCCGGGGGTCCTTGAAGGTAGTGCTGCGTGTGTTGTGGTCGACGAAGTAGCGGACACGCTCGTTCGTGTACTTCATCTCCCAGCCAGGGGGGAGGGCCGGCTCCTGGATCATCCTGCCCAGAGCGGGGGGCATCAGGATCGCCGCCACGCGGGCCCCCCCCCGCCCTCCAGCCCCGGCGCGCCACGCTCTGTCCTGCCCCCTCCCAGGCAGCCCCTCCCTGGCCAGGCCCAGGGGCCTCGCGGGGCCCGACCCACACCCCCTCCCAAAGCAGCCCCTTCCGGTGCCGGGGGGGGCGGGGGGGCGGGGCGGGGCCCGGGGGGGGAGCTCCTCCGGCCCCTGGGACCGGGAGCGCTGGGGCCAGCCCCCCCGGGCGTGTGCGGGGGCCGCTCCTGCCTACCCCTGGGTGCGCGGGTCCTCCCATTGCGTGGTGCGCGTGTTGTGGTTCACGTAGTACACCCGCCCGTTGTCCTGCCTCTTCTCTGCGGGAAGGCCAGGGAGCCCAGTCAGCGCAGGGCCCGGCGGAGGGTCCGGGCGCCCCCCTCGTGCTGCTGCCTGTGACCGCAGCCCGAGGCCCTGGCGGTGCCCGCAGAGGACACCGTCCGCTCGGGGCGCGCTGCCCCCCATACCCCCCCAGGGCAGCCGCTGCCCCCCCTCCGCAGCCCGTCCTCCGGCATCCCCCTTCCAGCTCAGCTGCGCGCTCTGCAAGGGGACGGAATCGGGCCCCGGAAAAGAGGCAGCCGGGCAACAGGCGCAGCGTGCCCACGGGACCGATTCCTCCGCACACAGGCCCCCCATGGCCGCCTGCCCCGGGCCGGCCAGGAGGGCCATCTCCGCCTCCCCCCCCCAAGCAAGACCCACACCAACTGTCAGGAGATCTGAACGCCCCCAGTCCCGCCGGCGAGCCAGCAACTGCCCGGCTGACCACCAGCTGCTGGGAGCGCTGGCACTGCCTGCACCTGGGCCCCCGGGGGCCAAGAGCTGAGCCCTGGAAGTGCCCCCCCCCACCCACAGGAGGCCTCCCCAGCCCAGGCGAGCCGAGAGCCTCTGCTGCCCTGGGCCGGAGACGCTCTCGCTGCAAGCACGGCCAGGGAGACTCTCCGTGCGTCCCAGGGCCCCCCTGCCCACGCAGCCAGAGATGCCCCACAAGCCCAGGAGAAGCGCGGCTGCTCTGAGTGCACCACCTTCCAGATACGGCCGCGGCAAGAGCCTGGGCTGCATCGAGATCCGGCAGCCTCCAGCCCAGCCTGTCCCCCCGGCAGTCCCTCCCAGCCGCGGGAACACGTACCCCACCGAAGCCGCAGGTGCTGGAGGGGTCCGCAGCCCAGCAGCTCCCCTCCCCCGAAGGCCACCCTCATCCCCTGCTGAAGCCACGGGAGGGGGCAGCCGCCAGCCCATTCCGTGGAAGCAGGTCCCGCTGCTGGCCTGTGCACCCCAATGGGCTGCCCCACAGAGCCTCCGCCCCCCGCCCCATCCCACTCGGCCCCGCTGGTCTCCCCGCCCCACTGCCCTGCCTCGCCCCCTCCAGTGGCATCAAGGGGGATCTGCCGCTGCAGCCCCAGCCGGCCCCTGCTGCCCCAGGACCTCTCCCAAATCCCCTTTGGGGTGGGGCGAGGAGGGCGAGGGGGCACTCCCCCTGGGCAGCGGCCAAGCAGCCCCACGCTGCCTCGTGCTGGAGGCGCACCTGCGCTGGCCTGGGATGCCCCGGCGCGGCTCCCGCAGCCAGCCTTCCGCCCTCCTTCCCCGTGTGAGCCGGGCAGGCGAGAGGGCAGCAGAAGCGCGGCCCCCCGGGGGCTTGTGCTGCGCCCCCTCCCGCATTCTCTCCCGTGCTCAGCCCCGACTACGAGCCTACGAGGAACGAAGGGGCGTGCGGTGTGTGGCGGCGCCCGTGCGCCAGCCCGGGAAGCAGAGCCGCACCGCCACAGGCAGGGGCTGGGTGCCCAGTCTGGCAGGTCCGGGGGCGCCACGACCCACGGAGTCCCCCGCATGCAGGCTGCGGGACTGGCAGGCGCCCGGGGCCAGAGGAAAGGCGACGCGACGCGGCACGTACTCACCCCAGCCAGGAGGAAGCGGCCCGAGAGGATCGTTGTCAGCCGGGGCGCCGGAGGACTGGGGGCAAAGCACAGGCGGGCCGGTCACGGAGGGAGCAGCGCCAGAGGGGTGCAGCGGCGGGAGAGCCCCGGGCAGCCCCTCCGCCCCGGCTGCGCCACGCGTGCAGCCGGCCGCGGGGCCATGGCCGCGTGCGCCCCGCTCGGGGCAGGGGACGGGGGCGGGTGCGGGCGCTGCTGCCGCCCCGGCGCTGGCCAGCCAGCGGACTGCACGCCCGGCCACGGTCCCACCTCCAGCCTCCTCCAGGAACCACCCGCAACAGGGGGAAGCGGCGCAGGCCTTTCCAATGAAATCATCCCCGAGCACTGTCCACGCCCAGCGCTTCCTGGCCCGCCGGGGCCGCCCCCCGCCCCCCCAGCCGGCCCATGCGAACCCGGCGGCGGCGCGCAAAGAGCGCCCTGCCTGTGACTGAGGGAACATTCATGCCGCGCAGACGGGCGTTCCCCCCGCAGGTCGGCCACACAAAGCACCTTTCTTTGCCCAGAGCCGGGCGGGCCGGGCCAGGCCGGGCGAGGGGACGCAGCCTGGCTGGCGAGCCGAGTGGGGAGGGGGCCGGGGCGCCGGGGCTGTTTAGATTAGTCCCGGCTCTCCTCCGGGGTCTCTGGAGAGACTGGGCCGGACGCGGGGGCCAGACAGGACCTGAGAGGCCAGCGGCTCTGCCAAATGCCCTGCCAACCAGGGGAGAGCGGTCCTGGTCCCTGGGCGGGTGGGCGGGCGGGCAGCTCAGGGAGCCCCTCGAACCGGCAGCCGCCTTCCCGGGAATGGCTCCGCGGTGCCCGGGGAGGGCTGGCGCGGCCGGGGCCTCCGAAGGCGACTCCGAGCCCCTCCGCTCGACTGGGCGCCCTGGTCCCGCTCAAATGTTCCCCGCGTGGGAAGGCCAGTCCACGTGCGGCAGCTGCGCAGCCAGGAGAGCCCTATGCCGGGGGGCCGGGGAAGAGTGGGCCCGGGGGCAGGGGAGCACCCCCAGCTCTCGCCCCCCCCCCCGCCCAGAGGGGAGCGGCGCCGCTCACCTGGTAGAGGAAGCGCTGGCTGAACTGGTGCATGGCGCCCTGGAGCTGGCTGCGCTGGCTCTGCCACTGCTCGTAGCTGCGCACGTACTCGGCCGTGGGGCGCTGCCACGTGGTGGTGCGCGTGTTGTGGTCCACGTAGTAGCACCGGCCTCGCGGGTCCACGCGCTTCTCCCAGCTGCGCGGGCAAGACGCCGCATGAGGGGCCCGTCCGGGCTGGCCAGCACAGCCGCGCCCCTGCCAGAGGGCCCGGGGGACCCGCTGCGGAGGGCCAGGGGCTTGCGGGGGGCTGCCTCGGGCAAGCTTCCTCCCCCTCCCGCTGGGCCGCAGAGCCTTTCACCGGCCGGAGCCTCCCCCGGGCAGAGCAGGCCCGGCCACCGAGGCCACGCACTGCCTGGGCGCCCGGCGCGGGTCCCGCACTGGCCCCGGAAGACTGCTCAGAAACGCCGTTCGCGGCACACGCAGCGGCCAAGGGGAAATCGGCTGAAGGGAAAGGGAGCGCGTCGCACAGGCCACAAATGAACTGTCCTTCCTGAGCACCGGACAAGCTGCCACCTCTGCCCTGTACGGCCCCAAGGACAGGCCTCCCCCGCCTGAGGTGCCTGGAGGGCGTATTCCGCCACGCCAGGCCAGGCGTGCGGGGGGCCTCCGGATCGGCCCAGCCTGCCTATTTCGAAGGCCGGTCTCCGGAGGTGCCGCTGCTGTTCTCACGCGCCCGGGCTGTCGCACGCCTCCTGGTCCAGCAGCCTCCCTCCGGGCTGAGAAGTGGGGTGCTCTTCCATCATGCCAGAGGGGCGAACCCAGGCACCGCGGGCCCTGCAGGGCCGCCTTCCTCCGGCGCGGGTGAACTCTCTGCCCCCACCGAGGTCGACCACGTGTCCCGCGGCCGAGGCCCAGGCCAGACACACAGGACCCACCCCGCATTACCTTCCGGTCCCACCCCATGGTCCCGCAATGTCTGCCTCCCCCCCTCCTGAAGGATGCGTCCACCTGGCCCGTCCACAGATCGGGCCTCCATCTCGGCGCTCCTACCCCGGCGGAAGAGGGCGCTCCCACGTGGTGGTCTTTGTATTGTGGTCCACGTAATAGACCCTCCCGTTCGGCAGCTCCCGCTGCTCCCAGCTGGAGGAGAGGGAGGGAGGGAGGGAGGGAGAGAGAGAGGTGGGCCTCACAGCACCACCGAGGGAGCCCCTGGCTTCGGCCAAGCGCTCCTCCTTCCCGGCATTCCCAGCCGCACCAGCGGCTCGCCCCATCCCGTGTCCTTCCACCAGCCCTTGCAGGCAGGCAGGCAGGCAGGCACGCGTGTCTGCGATTCCCACGGCATGCTCACGCCAGGGCTCTCCAGCCTAGCACAGCTGGTTGTGTCATCCAAACCGGGCCTCGTGGCAGATAAGCCGACCACCCCGGAGCCGCGCTCCAGGCCTCTCAAGCCCGGAATGACTTGCGGCCAGGGTGCCCGGCAGACCGGGGGCGAAGGAACGGAAGAGACCTTCCTGGCTGACCCCCCCCCCACAGGGCGCAACCTGGGGGCAACGTGCCACAGGGTTTTGGTGGGCCGGAGGCACCCAGCCCCTGGAGGCGCGGGGCCCCTCCCCAGCTCTTCGGGGCAGCACGTGCGGCTTCCTTGGGGCCTCCCTCTGGCCGACCCTGCAGCCCTCGGGGCTCCCCAACTCCCAGCAAGTGCTCAAACAGCCTCGCGCAACACGCTTGCACTGCAAGCTCTTCTGTGCAACTTCTTCTGGGAAGCGGGATAAGAATAAAGCAGAGAATCGGGGCAAAACGAAGCCAAGCCTGGCTCGGGGGGCCGGCCACCTCGGCCACCTCCGCCCGCACCAGGCCAGGTCCGCCGGCAGCGAGACGGCCGCGGCTGAGGTCACCTCGCCGTCCAAGCGAGACGTGCTGCCTTATGTAAGGAGCCACAGCCGCGCCTGCTGCCAGCGAGCATAATGCGCCTCTTTGTGCGCACGAGACGAGGCGCGAACGGGAGGACAAGCCGCGTTAATGAGGGCTGCTGTCCCGATGCAGCAGCTCCGCTGATAGGAACCAGATGCGGGGCGGGGGGCGGCATCTGTGCTGCCGGCAGCCTGGCGGGAGGCAGAGCACGCGTGTGCCGCCCTGGAAGCGCGGCCTGCGGATCAGGGCCGCGGCGCCCTTTCGGTTCCTGGCTCCCGGGGACGGGGCTCTCTCCGCACACGGGCCCCGCTGCCCGTGCGCGGAAGCCTTTCCGTGCCCCGGGAGAAGGGCTGCCTGGGCAGGGAGCCGCTCCTGCCCCGGGCCCCGGAACACGGCGGCACGTGAGGAGGCGGCTCGGCGTGTGGGCCGCTCCAGCGGGAAGAAAGAGCCTTTGAGAGGCCGGGACGTCTCCGCTGCCGGCAGACAGGAAGGGGCTGCGGCCCGAACACAGGAGCCCTCACACGCCCTGCACGAGGCGCCGTGCGCTCCCAGCCCCCATCACCTGCACGCGGCACACGCCGGCTGCCCCGGCCGGCCTCAGAGGCCGCAAGGCAGACAAACGGCTCCCTTCATCGGAAATGCCGGGGCCACTGGGCAGGCCAGCACCGGGGGCTGCCACTTGGGAGCGCGGCACGAGGACGCCGTGCAGAGGCGGCCACCTCGCTACGGGGGGGGGGGGGGCGGAGGGGGCAGGCCAGCTCACCAGGAGGCAGGGAGCCCCCCCGGCCCCCTCCCTCCGCCCAAGCAGAGCCGCCTGGCAGGAGCGCCAGCTGAGGAGGCTTCCTCTGAGTAATCAGGCCCTGATCCCAGATGGGCCGCCTCCAAGTCCGTGCCGCCTCGCCCCGTCCTGGCTTCCTTCCGCCTGCAAATCCCACTGCTTGCCAGCATATTCCGTGCACCACCAGTCCTTCTTCGCATCCAGTGCGGCCCTTCCCTACACACGAGCAGGGCTCGGACGGCGGCTGCGTTCGTGGGATGCAATGGCCTGCCCTTAACGGTTGCGTAAGGTCGCCACTGGCCGGCCAGCACCGAAAGCCGAGTTATTGTGTGGTCTGGACCCCGCACAGAAAACACAGCACAGGGACAACCCAGGGTTCAGGCCCCGCAGGGAGCCGGACTCCCTTCCGAGCACGGCTGGGTCCAGACGACGCACGCGCCCTCGTTCCCACCGCCACCCGTTGCGCAACAGCACGCAGCACTCGGTCCCGGCGTGCGGGTTACCGTTTCCTCTGGACCCACCCCTTCCCGGGAATTTTTACATCAGCCTTGCAAGGTGGGCCAGCGTCCTCTCGCGGCCCCAAAATGGGGCAGCCGGAAGGGCGGGCGTGCCAAGGGAGCCACCCTGAGGAACCCCTGACGGGGCAGACGAGCACGGCCTGGGCGCTCCTTCCCACGCGGAGCAGCCCCGTCCCCCACCCCGCTGAGGCCGGCACCCGCTCGGCAGGCCGCGGCAGAGCCAGCTCCCGCTGTGCCCGCGCCGCAGGGTGCCACTCACCCAGGGGGCAGCGTCTCCGTGCCCTGTGCCGCTGGCTGGGAAGGCTGGGTCCCGGCACCCGGGGCCGGCTCCTCTGCCGCCTCGACGGCCCCGCCCGTGCTGGGGGCCGGGGCGGGCGCGCTGGGCATCTCTCCGGCACTGGGCGCCGAGCCGTCGGGCTCTCCGCTGCCTGAACGGGTGAGGGAGGTCAGGAGGAGCTGCGAGAGACGAGGACATGGCCGGCCCCCCACCCGCCCCACTCCTACCTGAGCCGTTCACAGGGCTGCTCCGGCTCTTGCCCGCCTGCTGGGCCTGGGCCTGGGGACTCGGGCTGTGCTCCCCGTTGGCCGTGCTCTGCCGGGGCGCTCCAGCCGCGTGCCTGTGTGCTCTGCGGAGGAAACAGCGAGGGACCGTCGGGGCGCCACCCGTGCCCCCCGGATTCCCAGGTCCTCCTGCGCCCGCCCCTCGCTTGACTGACCCTGCACAGTGCCAGCTGCCTCAACAGGTGTGGCGTTGGCCCTGCTGCACAGCTCATTCTGCTCCTGAGCTGGGAGGGGGGTGGAGGGAGGGGTGCCGGGGGGCACAAAGGCCCAGCGTCCCCCTCTCCCTCCCATGCAGCCTTTCCCGGTTCCCATCCACAGCCACAGGGACCAGAAGCTTGCCAGAACCGGGAAAGCAAGAGGCAGGCGGGATTCTCTGGACGAGGCATCCTGTGCGCGCTGAGAACCGTCCTGGCAGGAGTGAGCTCGTGCGGGTGGGAGCGCATGGGCTTCGACGTCACCGCGAACCAGAAGCAGCTCCTCAGGCTCAGCCCGGCTAGCCAGCTAAGTCTGGAAAGGCCCCCCGCCGCCCAGGAGAGCCGCAGCCCATCAGCCAGACCCCCGGCGGCGAGCAGCAACTCCCAGGATCTGCAGCTTGGATCCCCTCTCCACATTCGGTTCTGCCAACAAGCCCGCCAAGTGGGACAGGCTGGAGCACGACTGCCCTCGCCCTGGCACCCGCACAGGCACACAGCTCCGGGAGCCAGCAGCCCCGCGACGGGCGGACGCTGCGGCCTCCCTCAGGGAGCCAGGCTAGGCCTCGGGGCAGGCGACAGACCTCGCTTGGAAGGGGTGAAGGGAGGGGCCGCAGCCGACCCACCCCACCACCCGGGATGAACAAGTTCTGAGCCCGGAGGATATTTGGAAACGCAAGCAGAGCCATTTCTGGCAGCCCGAGGCGGAGGGGCGCAGGGAGTCCCTCGCTCGCCCTGTGGAAGTAGCCCCGTGGGAGCAGAGGCTCAAAATCGGAGCAGGCGCCCGGGCCGGCCAGGCGGGTGGGAAGCGGGAGCGCCTGCTGGGCCCCGGGGCAGAGGAGGCCCAGGCCAGAGTGCCGCTGCGCCACAGGAACGCGCGCGGCCCTGTGGCCGGGGCAGCTTGCCTGAAGCGGCTGCCCGTCTGGGCTGTACTGGCCCCCCCCCGGGGGGCTCCTCAGGACCCGCCCGCGAAGCACACGGAGGCTTTTCTCAGCTGCTGCTCCACACACAAGCGGGCCTGTGAAAGAGCGACAGGCAAACAGAACGGCCGCCCCTCTCCGGCCTCCCGGAGAGTGATCAGGGGCCGCTGCAGGCAGGCAGAGGCTGGCCAGGCAGGAATCCCCCCACCCCCGAGCGGCTCCCACTGGGGAATGTGGCACCCCGAGCCAATGTGGCCAGCGGCCGCCCTGCCAGGAGGACACGGCGGAGCTGCGGCCCACCTGGGAGGTGCTCACCTGGACCGGTTGCCAAAGCAGTTCGTGCTGGCCGCAGGGGGCCGGCCCTCCGGGGATGCTGCTGGGCCACTGGGCTCCCTGTTGGCCGGCTGGGACCCTGGGGGGCACGGGAGAAGCCCATCAGAGAGAGCCACCCCACCGGGGCGCCAAGCGGTTGGGCGCCTCAGGTGGCACGTGGCCGGCCTGCCCGCTCAGCCTCGTGGGGACCTGAGGACCCCGCGCCCCCTGCCCGCACTGCCCCTGCCCCGGGGACTCACCCTCCGCCACGGGGCCGCCATTCGGCACGCCCCCTGCATCGACGCCGGGCCCGTCCAGGAGGACGGTAAGCTCCCCTCCGGAGACGAGGCCGCCTTTGCCCTCCGTCTGCAGGTTCAGGGTCAGCTGCTCGTTCTCCACTGTGGGGCGAGGGGGCAGAGTTCAGCCGCGACCCCCATGCCCAGCGCCCCCCGCCACGGGGGAAGCCGCCTGGGGCTCCTCGGAGGGACAGACAATGCAGCGCCGCCATGCCGAGCAGGGGCTTTTCTGCGCCCTTCCGGCTCTGCCGCCTCCTCTCCAGACGGGGCCCCTTCCGAACGCTGCCCCGGGAGGGGGCGTTCCCGCACTGAGCAGGGCAGGACTCAGCGGCCTCTGGCCTCTTCCGGCCGGCCTCCCTCTGACTCCGGGACAGCCACCCGCTTCTGCCAAGGGCCATGGGGGGCACCTGCCTCCATGCCTGCCCCACTCCCAGGTCTGCACTGAACTGCTCCAGCGCAAAGCACCCCCCAGCCATCCTCCCCCCGTGCCGACCCCCTGCTTCCGCCTGCCCCCGTGGGCCAGAGAGGCACAGAAGCAGCCGTGGTCAAACAGTCAAGGGTGACGAGGGAAAATGACGCCGGAGACCCTGCAGCACAGGCCGGCAGCTGCCCTTGCGCCCTTCGGTTCCTGGGCGGCAATGCGGATCTCTGCAGGTCAGCGGGCTCCCCCCGGGAGTCGCCCAGGAACCCTCGCCAGGCACCCCCATGGCCCGCCCTGGCACGGCCCGGGCCCAGAGATGCCCTGGAGGGGCGAGCAGGAGGCCAACGCTCCGCACCTGGGGCCCCCAGCCCCGAGGCAGAGGTGCCCCGGCCAACGGCCCGAAGCGGCCCAGGCCCAGCCGAGTGCTGGGCTTCTCACGGCTCTGCGGAGGCCCAAGCCCCGGGGGCCATGCCGCCCTGCGCGGCGCCCACCAGGAATGGCCGCACGGCCTCTCTTGCGGGAAGGGGATGGCGAGCCGGGGCTGCGTGCCGTGGGGGTGGGCAGCGGCAGGAGCGGAGAGCCCCAGGCTGCTCGAGGGCAGGGCAGCTCCTTCGCTCCTCCGGGATGGGGCCCGGCGCGAGAGCGGCAAGTAAGGGGCTGCCCCCACCCTGGTCTGGCGGGCACGCCACCGCCAGCGCCACCCGCCTGCGGACCTGCTGCCAGTTGTTTCCGACAGCTTCAGCCGGCGGGAGCGGGAGCGGGAGGGGGAGGGACCGTCCGGCTTCTTCCTGGGCAAATTCCTTGCGGTCGCGGCTCCAGCCGCCGGCCCCAGGCGTGGCAGAACGGGAGGCGAGCTGACAGACCTCTGCTGTGAGGCGGGCGGGGGGGAGGCGGGGGCTGCCGGACAAGAGCCCCTTGATGCAACCTGAGAAGGGGCACGCTGCCTGCGCGCCGCAGCGGCCCGGCGGCCCCCACCCGCGCGTGCGGCGAGAGGAGGGGGCCGGGAGAGCTCGTCTGTGCACACCCCACGCTCCGGAGCCGCACCCTGCGCTGGCCACGGCTGGGCTCTCGGCTACCACAAGCACCTTGGCCGGGGCCCCGTCGCTCCTGGCCGGCGGGCACGGGGAGGCGATCTAAAGTGTGCCTCGGCAGCGTGTGCGCTGCGGGGGCCGGGCGGGGGGCCAGGCTTCCAGAGGGGTTCCCGGGGCAGGCCTGCGATCAAGAGCCCCATGGAGGGGAAGGGGGCCACAGGAGCCTTGGAGGAGGGGCCTGGGGGGCTCTGAGGAAGGCCACTTGACCCCCCCGACTGCTCGCTCCATCAGGAGCTCCACGGAGGCTGCCCGGCCAAGGGCCCGCCCCGCCCCAGCCGTGCATTTCTGGCAAGGGCAGCCAGAAGCAGGCCAGGCCGGAGCGGGGATCCATCCACATGATCCGCGGGACCGGCAGGGAGGCGTTGGCCGGCAGTTCTGGGAACAGGGCAGGCCGCGGAGGACCGCTCGGCCGGCCAAGCCCTGCATCGTCCCACCTGGCAGGGAGGACGCCACAAACGCCCTGCCTCCAGGAGAGCTCGCGGGGCCCCGGGTGGACTCGGACCGTCCACTGGGGGGAGTGCTCAGGTCCCCCCGACTTGTGCCATCTTGGGGACTTCAAGGTGCCACCTCGGCAGAGGGAGAAGTGGGCGGCTGGTCTTTCCCCCTCTGCCCCCATCCCAGTCTCCTTTCCTGCTGCGCCCTGGAAATCAACGGCGGAGGAGAACGGAACCTCCGGGCCGCTCAGAGAGCCTTCCCAGCTGCACTCTGGGGCAAGCATTGCTCACAGAAGCCAGGCAGGGCCCCACACGAGCCCGGCGGAGAGCGAGGCTGCTGCCTGCCCGAGCGCAGTGGGGGCTGCTGGTTGCCGGCACGCAGTGTCATGCCCAACACCCTGCCCTTCTCCCTCCCCAGGGCAGCTGGCATGGCCCCCCGCCTCTCCGTTCCCCCCACAACAGCCCCTGTGAGGTAGGGAGCACCAGAGCGGAGCGTCCTGCCCCCACACCGGGTCTCGCAGAGAGCGTGGGGGGCAGCTGTCCCCCGCGCTTGCCAGCGAGGCGTGGATCGGGACCGCTCCCTTCTGGGCCGGCCGGCTGGCCGGAGCGCAGCTGCCCCAGGCACGAACGAGCAGGGCGCCTGGAGCTCCTCGCCCAGGCCTGTGCGGCTGCATCCAGGCGCCTCCCTCGCCGCCCGTGCCAGGGAAAATTCCGCCTGGGATCCAGCAGCGCCGTTTCCACTCGCTTCCCAAAACAGCTCCTCACCTCATGAAAGGAGCTTTGTGTCCAGCGCGAGGGGGGAGTGGGGCGCCAGGTGGGGAAGGGCGTGCGAGGCATGGCCCGGCAGAGGCTCCTGAATGGCAGGCGCTCCATGCGCCCCGGCCGGAGCGGGTGACATGGGCCTGGCTGGGAGTGCCAACCCACGGAGGGGGCCCCGGGCAGCCGCCGGGCCGGCACCCCCTCCCCAAGCCCTGTCCCCCCAAGGCGGCGGGGGTGCTGCTCCTCCCGCTCAGACCCAGCAAGCCGGCAGGAGCCCAGGGAGCCCGGATGAGCGGCGGGGGGCCTTGCCCAGCTGTGTGCCCCTGAACGGGAGCCTTCCTGCGGCAGCCCCTGTAGGCCGCTCCAGGACCCCGCGCGGCAGGAGGCAGCCAGAGGGGCTGGGCAGCCCGGGCCGCCCGACAGGCCCACCCGCCCCTCACAACGAGGCCTTGTTGGCCCCCCCCGCCCGGCCCAGCCGCAGGGTGGGCACCGCGCGGGCAGCCCGGCCGGGGGGGGGAGGGGGAGGGGGGAGGGGGCACGGGGCGTACCTCTCCCCTTGCCCTGCTTCAGCAGGCCGGCGAGGCTGAGGGAGGCCGAGCCCAGCAGCTCGTTGCGCAAGGTGTGGCAGCTCCAGAGCTTCAGGTCGAGGTGGCTCTGCGCCGAGACGTTCCTGCGGGCGGAGGGGGACGCGCGGGTAGGATCGGGCAGGGCCGGGACGCGCGCACGGCGCCCGCCGCCCCGAGGCGAGGGGCCGCCGGCCACGTCAGCGGGCGGCGGCGGACGAGGCTGCCCCGCGCCCCCCGGGGCCCCCCG